TTGCCTTTAAACGACAAATTTACCGGTTTCCAACTTTAACCGATTTCATTAACTTTAGCCTACCACGAACATTTATAACAAAAAATAATGATCATATATGGTTCCAAACGGCATTATATGACCCTGAGATATATCCCATAGAATTTAAAGACTATTCAACAACGAGCCCCAAAACCTCAAAAATTTTCTAAAAAGGTGTAGATATTAACCTTCAATTTTGGAAATTTTTGACTTTTTTTTGCCCGAAAATAAAAATTTCTAAAATTTTTACCATGGTCCCTAAGACCCTCTAAGAGTACAATTAGTTGGGTTGAAACATCCAATTTGCCTTTAAACGACCAATTTACCGGTTTACAACTTCCACCGACGTTATTAATTCAAGCCTACCACGAACATTTATGACAACATATAATGATCATATATGGTTCAAAACGGCATTATATGACTCCGAGATGTATCCCCTATAATCTCAAACCATTTCGACACCGGGCCCCGAACCTCCAAAATTTCACAAAATGAGTGGATATTAGTCTTCAATTTTTGAATTTTTTGACTATTTTTTTCGCCCAGAAATAAAAATTGCCGAAATGTTTACCATGGTCTCTAATACCCTCCAGGAATTCAATTGGGTGGGTGGAAGCATCCAATTTGCCTTTAAACGACAAATTTACCGATTTACAACTTCCAACGATGTCATTAATTCAAGCCTACCACGGACACTTATGTCAACATATAATGATCATATATGGTTCCAAACGGCATTATATGACTCCAAGATTTATCTTCTAAAATCTTAAACCTTTTCGAAACCGGGACCCGAAACCTCTAAAATTTCTCAAAATGCATGGATATTAGTCTGCAATTTTTGAAAATTTTGACTTTTTGTCGCCTGGAAATTAAAATTGCCAAAATATTTACCTGGTCTCTAATACCCTCTGGGAGTCCAATTGGGTGGGTGGAACCATCTAATTTGCCTTTAAACGGTCAATTTACAGGTTTACAACTTCCACCGATGTCATTAATTCAAGCCTACCACGAACATTTATGACAACATATAATGATCATATGTGGTTCCAAACGGCATTATATGACTCCGAGATGTATCCCCTAAAATCTCAAGTCTTTTGACACCGGGCCCTAAAACCTCAAAAATTTCTCAAAATACGTGGATATTAGCCTTTAATTTTGGAATTTTTTGACTTTTTTTTCACCAGTAAATAAATATTGCCAAAATGTTTACCATGGTTCCTAATACCCTTCGGTAGTCCAATTAGGTGGGTGGAACCATCAAATTTGCATTTAAACAACCAATTTACCGATTTACAACTTTGCACTGATTTCGTTAACTCCAGCCTACCACGAACATTTATGACAACATATATTGGTACTTTATGGTTTCAAACGTCATTATATGACCCCAAGATGTATCCCCTAAAATCTCATTTCTTTTCGACACCGAACCCCAAAACCTTCGAAATTTCTAAAAAAGCGTGGATATTAAATTTCAATTTTGGAATTTTTTTGATTTTTTTTCGGATGGAAAAAAAAATGCCAAAATTTTTACCATGGTCCCTAACACCCCCGGGAGTCCAATTGGGTAGGTGGAACCATCCCATTTGCCTTTAAATGGCCAATTTACTGATTTACAACTTCCACCGATGTCATTAATTCAAGCCTACCACGAACCATTATGGCAACATATCAAATGACATTATATGACTCCGAGATGTATCCCCTAAAAACTTAAGCCTTTTCGAAACCGGGCCCTAAAACCTCCAAAATTTCTCAAAATGCATGGATATTAGTCTTCAATTTTTGAATTTTTTGACTTTTTTTCGCCTGAAAATAAAAATTGCCGAAATGTTTACCATGGTCTCTAATACCCTCTTGAATTCCAATTGGGTGGGTGGAACCATCCAATTTGCCTTTAAACGGCCAATTTACCGATTTACAACTTTCACCGATGTCAATAATTCAAGCCTACCACGAACATTTATGACAACATATAATGATCATATATGGTTCCAAACGGCATTATATGACCCGGAGATGTATCCCCTAGAATTTAAAGACTTCGACAACATGCCCCGAAAACTCAAAAATTTCTCAAAAAGTGTGGATATTAACCCTCAATTTTGGATTTTTTTGACTTTTTTTTGCCCGAAAATAAAATGCCGAAATGTTTACCATGATCCCTAATACCGTCCAAGAGTCCCATTGGATGAGTGGAACCTTCCAATTTTTCTTTAAACGACCAATTTACTGGTGTACAACTTGCACCGATTTCATTAACTCAAGCCTACCACGAACTTTTATGACAACAAATAATGATCATATATGGTTCCAAACAGCATTATATGACCTCGAGATGTATCCCCTAAAATTTCAAGCGTGTTCGACATCGGGCCCCGAAATCTCTAAAATTTATCAAAACGTGTGGATATTAGTCTTCAATTTTGGAATTTTTTGACTTTTTTTCACCCGGATTTAAAAATTGACGAAATGTTTACCATGGTCCCTAATATCCTCCGGAAGTCCAATTGGGTTGGTGGAACCATTCAATTTGCCTTTAAATGACCAATTTTATTACCGGTTTACAACTTATACGGATTTCATTAACTCAAGCCTATTACGAACATTTATGACAACATGTAATGATCATATATGGTTCCAATTGGCATTATATGACCCCGAGATATATCCCATAAAATATTAACACTTTTCTACACCGGGCCCCAAAACCTTCAAAATTTCTCAAAAAGCGTGGATAATTAGCCTTCAATTTTGGAATTTTTTTCTTTTTTTCGCCCGGAAATAAAATTGCCAAAATGCTTTCCATGGTCCCTAATATCCTCCGGGAGTCCAATTGGGTGTGTAGAACCATTCAATTTGCTGTTAAACGGCCAATATACCAGTTTACAACTTGCACCGATTTACCGGTTTACAACGGCCAATTTGATTAACTTGCACCGAACCCGACTTGAACGAAATTGACCAAAACCCGTTTTAACCTGCTAAAACCCGAATTTAATCCGACTTGTTATTAACCTGACCTGAATTCAACCCGACTCGATCCTAATCCAACCCGAATTTAACCCAACCTGTTACAAACCCGACCCGAAATCAAGCCGACTTGTTATTGACCTGACCCAAATTCAACCTGACTTGTTATTGACTCGACTCGAATTTTACCATACCTATTACTTACCCAACCCAAAAATTCAACCTGATCTGTTACTAACCCGACTCGAAATTAACACGACTTATTATTGACCTGGCCTAAATTTAACCCAAATTGTTCCTGACCCGATTTCAAATCACCTTTAATGCAATTTAGACCACCTTATTATTGTTGATCAAAGCATTTTGTCTTGGGAGACCAAGTCGGTCCACGCTAGCAAAATAAATTAAAGGAGCATCATCATCAAATTTAAGAGTTAAATATATTATATATTTGTTGTATGGTCAAAGGAGATAATTATCTTTCTAAATTATAGACTATAGTTCCCGAGTATATTGCCATATATATTATAGTCAAAGGAAATAATTAGCTTGATAAAAATGATAATTGTAGTTAGTTGAACCCGAATATGGCCTGATTTGGAAATGACCCGACTTGATTGTAACCTGCAAATTATTGGCTTGAACATAACCCGACTTGAATTCAAGAATGATCTGACTTGGAAATGACCCAACCTGATTATAATCCGCAAATTATTGACTTGAAGCGAACCCAACTTGAACCCGAGAATGACCCGACTTGAAAATGACCCGACGTGATTATAATCCGGAAATTATTGACTTGAACCGAACCCGACTCAAACCCGAGAATGACCCAACCTGATTCTAACCCGCTAATTAGTGACTTGAACCGAACTCGATTCGAACCCGAGAATTACCCTAACCTGTTTTAACCCGCCCGTAAAAACCCGAATTAAACCCGACCTATTGTTTACCCGACCTATTATTAACCCGACCTAAACCTGATCCAAACCCGATAAGAAGTATAACCCGACTCAAGCATGACTCAACCCAAACCCGACCAGCATAGATTATGAAATCAATCTGAATTAACCCGATCCGAGTTGACCCAACCCACTCTTACCCAACCCAAACCCGATCCGTTTACTTGAATTGACAATTCTAATCTTTATAAACATCATAAAATCTTGAAGATTAGAAGTATTAAACATGAGTTCAATGGAAAAATTTTAAAAATAGTAAATAAAAACACAAAAGTAGGTTTATTTTACGTAAAGGGTCCTTTTTTTAAAAAAAAAAAATGTTTTCAAATATTTCAATGGTACAAAAACATTATTGTCACAATGAGAATATATAAAAAAAATAATAATAAAAATAAAAAAAAAAAAACAAAAAAACAACAACAAATTCTCACATGATAATTCCGTATTTTTTTATTACTAGTACAATCGTACATTATTACAAGTATGTATAATTGTATATTACTGAAGTAGTGAAGTAAATGATGTTCCAGTACTTCATATGCACAACATATTTGCAATTTGACCTTGAAAAAACAAATGTCTCAACTTAATTTAAGCATTTAACTTGGGAAAAGCATATAGGAAAACCAAGGTGGTACTACTGGTACAGTGGTATTCATAAATGTTATCTATAAAGGACAACTAGCCACTACCTCCGTCCCTAAATGTTGGCCCCATGATCATGTTTTGCTTTTTAAGGTTTTGGTTGAGTGGAAGTGAAGAGATAGAAAAGTAGTAGGACCTAAAATAATTTTGTGAGAGTAGAATCATAGTCTCCAATGACATGGTATGAGACACTTTTCAAGGGACACCCTTTTATGAAAAGTCGAACAGAGGGAATAATTGTTAGGGTGCTATGTACCGATGTACGTATGGTCTCATTTAAACCAAAAGCTTCACAAAACATACAAACAGTGAGCGAGGATTCATATTTGACATGCTTACTATGAGATACGTAGTATATGTTAAAGAACAAGTAATAAAAGAACACACCGATGAACCCGAATGGAACTCATAAATATTGCAAGGGCCAAAGATCAATCCTGCGTAAATTCACAGCAAGATTTTGTACAGTTTAGATTCCAAACATGCAGGTTTGGAAAAAAAAAAAATCACTATCCTAGACCCGATATAGCAAAGAGATTCCATCTATAGTTCTACATTAATTAACCAACTAAAACCACCCCCCTCTCTAAATTACCAATATTTTCTAAAGAAAAACTATAAAGCATACTTCAAGGTTTTGCTCAGTGGACATGAGCAAAATCCAGAAAGTTAGCCGGTGTACCCTATACCCCTATTCCCCCAAACCAAACAACTAAAGGTTACCAAAAAGACAGCTCCTTTGATGCGAATTCTAACCAAGGTTTCATGTCAAAACGCTAGCTAATTTGAAATGGCTGCTTCATTCAACTAAGAGGGCTAAAGCCTACCTATTCAGCGCTTAAACCTGAGCCAGAGCCTGTTTCCATTGTATGATCCTTGATATCTGGTGAAGCCTGAAGATATTCCATCGGTGTTGCAGCAGGGTCTAGTTCTACATAACCCTTTGGAGCATTCGGGCCTTCTGCACCTGTGAGCACATGGCTAGGAACCTGATGAGAGAATCTAAACATTTCCTCCCTTGGAATCCGCCTTACCCCTAGTTCAGGCTGCTTATTGAAGACAGTTAGGAAACCAGCAGCTTTCACAAGAGGGGCAACACGCACACCTTGCTCTTCATTGTAGTCATCGAGCACTTCCACCATGTCGTAGGCATGTACAACATTTTCTGGAGTATCTTTGTTCCAATCAGCAGACCAGTTCTTGTATAGAGCCCAAATTTCCCCCCTTCGTGGGTATACCTGGATAGCTCCACGGGACCCTTTACACCACTCAACTTTGTGAGAGAAAGAGTTTAGTGAATTGTTTATTACTCTTCTACCAATCCAGAAATCCCCACAGCTCTTAATAAAACCATGACCTACCCATTCCAAGGGACCAAACTCAGCGCTGCTTTTGGAGTTCAGCCAGCTAAGCCTCACCTGGAATGGATCCAAAGAGATGACCTCGTGAATCAAAGCATAGAAACGGGGCATTCCATCATCACTATCATATGTAGCCCACACTTGATTGTCTCCGAAACAACTTTCTGACCTGTCCAAATCAAATACATGAAAATCAGGATCTGGCACAGTCATTGTGACCATCTCAACATCTTCTTTTACTGCTTTACCAGCAGAAGAAAATCCTGAACGACTCCCCAGCTCTTGAATGGCAACATCATTTTCAAGTTTTGACTTCTGTCTTTCCTTTTGTTTCACCTTCTCTTTCTCTTTGGCAGCAGCCATGGCCTCTTCTTCTAACTTCCATTCCATAAGTTTCTTGCGTATCTCCAGAAGAGCTTTCTCAGAAAGCATCTTTCTGACTTCTGCGGTTGAAAATTCTCTGGTGGCATTATTAATCTTGGGACTGGCTCCTGTGAAAAAATTTGACCTTCCTGATTCAGAGTTGCCTACGCTTTGGCCAAGAGAAATTCCTTTTCCGGTTTCCCTAATTCCTATCCCTGGTTGACTTGGAATGCCACCCACAGAATTCTTAACACGGTCATTCATTTCCTTCATCCTCTTTAGAAGATCATCTCCGCTTAATACAAATCCAGGATCATTACTCCTCTCCCGTTTACCAGCTGCCTTTGCCACCCCATACTCTCTTCTCAATTTTTCAGCCGCCAGCTGCTGATCACTTGTGGCTTGAGCAGTATGAGCACTAACAGATGTGGTGTTTGGAGAAAAGGAATTATTATTATTATAGGTGGTTGTTCCAGATAGAGGGCTCCAACGAGCACTTGCAGCATCAGATGAATTATTAGCCCCAGACACTGAAGGTCTTGAGCTCAAAGGCGGCTTTCGATATTGTTGAGGGCGAATTGGAGAAAGATTTGAAGGTGGAGGTACTTCCACAGCCGCAAAGCCCTCTTCACAATGTGGGCATTTCAGAACCTGATTGAGATAAACTCGCATATACTCGTACTGCATCTTGCATCTAGTGCACATAGTCCAGAATGTATCACCTTTCTTAAAGAATGATTGAATTGATGGAGAAGATTTTTTACTGCTATTCTTTGATGCCTTTCCACGTGAAGAGCTGGAACTGGGATGTTTACAAAAACCATTAACTTCAGGTGGGACTGCTGAATTCCCACTTTGAGTAGGGACCTTCTGTTGGGAGGAACTACTGCATTGGGTCCCAAAAGTTTGCTCAGCCGCTCTCCTGGGTCCAAACTGAGTTGGAACCTTTTGCTCAGCTGTTCTTCCAGCACTGAATGGCGGCACTGGAACATTAAAATGATTTGAAAATCTGGGCTGGGACTGTCCATTGCCTGCAAACCCTGATGAAACACCAGGCTGAGAAGGGACCTTCTGCTGGGCTAATTTGACGTTACGCCGGCTATTGTAAAGAGATCTCTTAGCTTTGTCAGATAACAAACTAAAAGCTTCTGTCACAAGTTGAAAAGCACCCTCAGCACCAACAAACTTATTTTTATCAGGGTGAAGTTGAAGTACCAACTTTCTGTAATGCTTTTTTATAGTCTCGTCATCAGCTACTGGAGTAACACCAAGTATGCCATACAGATCCATCTCTCCATTAATCCTAGCTTCAGATGTTATATATACGTCAAGAGTGGCTATCATCTGTGCAATGCCTTCAAGCCCCTGATACAAAGTCTGAGCCTTCAGTGCAAACTTCTTTGCACCAGCAAAATCTTTCTCTGTAAACTTTCTGACAGCAATATCTTTTGCCCTCATGGCTTCATCTTTATTGCACTCCATCCTTTGCAGACTTGCCTCTCCCTTTCCTTGTCAATGTTTCGCTATACTAGGTGCTTGAAACGAGAACCCCTTCCAAATCAGCTACGCTAAATTATTGCAAAAGCGAAGAAAAGATTCTTGCTTCCATCAACCAAGACCTGATTTATTTAACAGACAAAAATAATGAATAAGGGTAATACATAATCACATAGCCAAAAGGTAACATAAGATTTTGCTAAATGGAAAAATTCTCCTATAGTCCATGCTTATATTAAAGAAACACATAAGAACAAAATTTCCTTCTTCGGGTCCATGCCTACATCAAATTAAGCATGAAGTGTTCCAAACATCCAACTGTTACTGCCTTCAGCCCAAAATTACGGAAAGGGGTCCAACATCTACATACGCAATTCTTATCAATCAATTACTTCCTAAATTAACATGATAAAAACAAGAAAGGAGTAAGAACAAAGCTATGGGGCTATTTTACCCAAGGTCTGCAGGACGGTATCGAATAATCCAAGGTCAAAGTTTGCAAAGTTAGGATATATTTCAACTAAAATTGATACAAACAATAGTTCAAGCTCAAAACCCCTTCTTTATAATAATTTATTTGAGGCTTTTTTATTTTATTTTAATTTGTATGTATATTTCATTGCCACCAACAGTACAAAAGGGAATTGTGTGCAGTGACGGACTTTGACCAAAGAACTTTCATAGGCCCGAGATTAAATAAATGCAGAAAGATATAGCGCCCCCATGACTGGAAAACTAATATGTCAAATTCTTTATATGGTTTAATAGCATTAAAGGGGTTGAACAAAAACAGGCCCAAAATAAGCCAAGTCAAATACATAGTGCTGGGGACGGAAACCTTGAATATTTAAGTATCTTGTATATCAGAGAACTACTTCATCCCGAAAATGCTTTCATTTACAATTGATCATACTTAGACAGGATTTTTTTAAAATGGAACATATTTAGACTGGATAGGTAACAAATATAACATTAACAATTTAAAAGGTACAACCCAGAAACAGTTGCATATTCAGAAATGCAATTATGATGATTATATAAGCCATTTTAGGGAAGAAAATGTTATAATTTTCTAAGTCTGCATGTTGAAGGAGGTTTGTGGATCCGAATACTAACCAGATGGCTTCACTTGAGTCTTCTGAAACATACTTTCATCACTAAACCACAACACCTGAAGCAAGCACTGATGAAGACTATATAACTTATGTTTTTGCAAGTCCTACCTGGAAGTAAATATAGAAATGTCTCAGATATGAGCATACAATTATAAACGACATTTAAATAAATAAATCACAATTATAAGCTGGTCGGTAAGGCACGTTATTAACTATCAGGCATTATTCAGTAGTTATAATTAGGAGCTACAGAAGAGAAAACATGAATACATGCTACAAATGCATTAAAATTGCAGTGTGGACTATGTTATGTATTCAGAAAACTTCGGTTAATGCAACAGACTCAATCAATTATAAAATATCTGCGGCAGTAAGGCCAGTACAATAGTGATAAATAGACAAGTATAACTGTGTAAATGAGCCAACAGCTAGAAGAAATAATCAGTGCAATTTGATGCAGACAAATCATAAGAAAATCTCTCATATAGACCCAACAAATTTGAGTAGGTCAAGCCCTTTAAAGATATGCTGTGATTAAACATGTTACCACGCCAGTGATCCAATGCTGATCAACCAACACAGCAGATTTAAGAACCAAACTAAACTCAAATCATAACAAGAAAGCCTACAGCACAAAAAGCGTTGTATCTATTTTTTCTATGCTTATGGTGGGAATATTTTATTACACAAACATACTCAGGTTGGTTGATAAAATTCCAAGTATTAGAAAACAACCTGTATTATAGCTACAAAATAAATAAAAAAGAATTCAATTACAAAGACTAGAAACTAGAACCAAAAAATAGACAAGTGAGCCCGTGTGAGCAAAACAAAGCAATTTTTCTTGTATCTAAGAATAGACAAAGAATATAACAAGATAACATTAAACAAAAACCAATTGGCTTGAGATGCAGGAAAAAAAACACTATACACAACTACATTCTGGCTAGAAATGTCTGTATATCAAGTCAATAACTACAAATCTCAATAATCAATGCTTCAACAAACATATTAGATAGAAAAAAAATGAAACCCATCAACAAGAAAAACTGCAAAGCCAGTTGCAAAACTCCTAATCATAACAAAGAAAATAAAAAGGTTCCAGGATCCAACAAAATGCCTACACACAACTGACACAAGTTTATAAGTCAATTTCTTTTTCACCAGTTACTACCATAAACCTGTTTACATGCATGTAAGATATAAATACTTATAAGCAAACTTAAAATTACAATAGCTAGTTATTATCTAGCAAGCATCTTATCAACACATGGATATCAAATACATGCATAAATTAAAATAACGAAGCACAATATTAAGTGATTCACCAAAGAAATGCAGATGATCATCTTTATATGCCTGGAAACAAACAAACATCTGCGCATAGATGAGAGCAATCAAACCCTGACACACAACTAAAAAATAAATTTATACAGGAAAAAAGGTTTAAGCAAAAGAAAAATAAAAAATATTGATAACACAATCAAACTTGTTCAAATAGGAAGTTATGCCTTTATAACCATTCATACATTTTATCACACTAATAGCCATCCAAAATTAATAAATCTTGATGATTCTATTCGTTAGCTTAACCCCAAAATTAATATAAAAAGTAAAAGATAAATTTGCATCCAAAAAAAAAACACATCTGACCTCAACTTGCATGAAAATAAACTATAGAGTACTTTACAAAATTACAACAAATCACTATCTCGTCAAAAATGAATTGCAATGGGACCTCCAAGTGTGCAAACATTCATCCCTGCTGCCAAAATTTTACAACATGCAAAAGAATTTTTAAAAAATCCTGATAAAGCCACATCCGTATCTATGAGATTGTGAACTTATTTCTTAAATCTTAGCTGATTGTATACTTAACTTATCTGTATTTATCAAGATGCCCACACCTTCAATTATCTCATTACATCAAAACATTGAAGTTGGCATCTTATAGAGGCAGTGAGGGTGTTACTAGATACGGTGAAGCCATGAAAGAGAATTGCAAATGGTAAATGTGGGAGAAAATACGGTACTTAAAACCTATAACTAATTTCCTAATTTGTTTCTCGAAATAAGAACTGTTTCTTCTAAGATTCCATTACTATTTGATACACACTAAACAATTGTTCCCATTTTAAGATAAACTTCTAGTGTTTATTGTCACACGTGTACCCCCTTTTAGCAATATGAGCCTTTGAGATTAATCATCATTAGTAGATAGATTAGGAAAGTCAATGAGACAAGACGAGACCAAATATAAAAAGGAGAATCCAGCTGAGAGAGAGATGTATTAAAATGCATCCTCAAAGTTATTGCACAAATAAATAAATAATGTGTAAATACCACAGCCTTTAAACAAGTACTAATTTACTAAACAAGCAATCAAGATCTTCCTTCAAAGAAGACCTGGATTATTTGACCATAGTTCAATCAATTATTTCTTCAAGTCAGCTGAAAAAGTGGCATTTTGTACACTGACCATCATACTAAATACTCATTGACACAAAAGATTAATCAATTTAATTCACATAATAGAGGTAGATTCATTAAACATTTTCATAAAATAAGGACAATGCACAGGTGATACTTGTATCATGCGAGTCAATATATCAACAATGCCTGTCTGTATACAGATATCATCCTCAAACTAAAGGCAAGCAACACATGATGAAAAATGATGACTATCAGTGTACAATGCACAACTTATATTTTTCACCAGTGACTCCTCTATGTCTGTGACCTAGATAAACTAAAACAAATCTTCAGTTAAAACCTCAAACAAAATGCTTTTACTGGTTCAATGATGCTATTAATGATATATCCAGAACATAAAACAAATAAAAGTAACAGAATATTTGTGACATTATGGCCAGTCACTGCTGCACAATATAAGTTACACAAAACAGACCCCATGATTCCAGAGGTGAAGCTAATACATTTTATTTTACCACATTAATGTACTATTACTGTATCCAAGATAATCGTCCCCTCTACTGACCAAATTAAACCCCTAACCGTAAATGCCCTACCATATACAGGGGCTGAAAGAATCAGGGTTTCCTTCAATATATGTGTGACAACCTATGAACATTCCAGGACAATTGCAAGTAACTATTCATTAGAAACAACCAACTCACTCATACCTCAGCTCAATAATAAGCAAAAACAAGCAAACTAGACCAAAAATGATATTTGGAGACATAGCCATAAGAGGCTACTAAGAAAACACTACAAGAAAATCATAAACCTCGTCAGAGTGGCAACTAACAATGCTATAACAGCTCTTAATTAAGAATTCTGGCAATGAAAAAGGTCTCAGGAGGTGATTTTGAACTCCAAAATGCCCCTAACATAAGAGAGAACTAACAAGTTCATTAAGTTTTGTCACTTACTATCCCATTTGACTATCACTATTAACCTATACCAATTCCATATTACAATGGCCTTAAAGGTTTAATTGTTACGAAAAACGAGAAATTATATACTTGAACGTCAACCATGCAAACAAATCAAAATATGTATGCACTTACAGGAGAGTATTCCCAAAATCATGGACAAACAACTCCTTTAATTTCTATGCCAAACCCTTAAAGCAAAAAAAAAAAAAAAAAAAAAAAAAAAAAAAAACATTTATATAAAGAAAATCTTTTTTTAAAAAAAAAACCATTCCCAAAAGGAATTTTGTCGTTACGTATCTTCCAACGGACATCCATCCATAATTATATGAACACATAACTAATCCCAAAAGGGAAGCATATTAAGTGACTACTCCGACAAAAGAAATTTTGTCGGTTTTGAAATAAATTCCACCTCTCTTGACTTGGTAACAGAATTACTCAACGCCACACTCATGACACAAACAAACCTCTTTTTTAAAGTTATCTACATGAATTCCAACATTCCTAAAGCCTTTTTCTCACCATCTACTTGTATTTTAAATATGATAATGAAGTAACACAGCAGTTCACAAATGTCACGAAAAACCAAAACATTCTCAAGAACATTCGATGACAAATTGGCAACCAAATCCAAATCAAATCAAAACAAAAATATATGTTTATAAAATAAAAGGAATAACAGATTCAACCATTAACCTTTTAATTTTTCAAAAACTATCAAAAAGGGGCACAGAAGCAAAAATTTTAAATCTGATAATTCGCCTCAAAAAATTCAGAACAGGACTCAATTTGCAAAATTCATCAACAACTTTACAACTACACATAAACACCACCAATTCAGATGAAAAACAGCAAAATGTAGATCCTAGCACTTGACAGCCAAAAAAAATGGAGGGAAAAAAACCCAATGACAAAAAATCCATAAACTTCACTCTACTCCGTAAATTCCTCATTTTTACAATCAAACATTAAATTTCAGCAACTTATCGAACTTAAATTAAAAACAAAATTTCACACAGCACCAACAAATTCAAACTCAAACCCTAAAAATGTATAATCTGTGCAAACTTACAAACAGAAATTTACACTTTTAATGTCCAAAAATCAAATAAATTCCATGAATTCAAATATAAATACAATTCAAATAAGTAAATGAAGCAAAGAAAAATAAATGAGATTTATACCAAAAATACAGCAACGTCACTGTAGAGTAGTTCAATTCAAAATGCAAGGACCGCCATGAATTTGGAGTTTTTATGTCTGGAATGTTCGAAAATGACCTGAGTATCAATCTAAGAACAACAAACAATAATTTTTTTGTCAGCAAAAACAAAAACAATCAAAAAATTCTTTAGAGAATGAAAAAAAAAAAAAAAAAAAAAATATTGAACAAAAAAAAATATGTTCTTGAACCTTAGATGAATAACAAAAGACTAGAAGAGAGGAAAGTTGAAATATGGGTATTAATGATATTTTTGCATTTTCTATAACAACATTAACCAAATGCCCAAATGGAGGGTTTAAATAATAATCATAATTCTCTATTTCTTAGAAGAAAAAGTAACCATGGTTAAATTTTGACTCGGGTTAAGTTACAGGATTTGGTGTAGGAGTTTGACCAAGGATAAATTTTAACCGTATTTGTAACCAAAGTTACGGTTTTTGTAATAAAAAGTGAAAGGTGTTAAGTACGGTTATATATTAACCTAAACGCGTGTTCAAATTTTGTGGTTAGCGGACTTAACCTTAGTCAGCTTATATGTGGCAAAAGAATCTTGTGGTATGAATTATTAGCTAATATTATGATTTTCTACTTTAAAAGTTTATTTGACATATGCAAATTCATATTGGAAAAAATAAAAATCCTAACAAAGAATCAAATGAGATATGTAATACGAATCAAGTGAGATTTTTATTTTTTTAAAAAAATCAACTGAGATTGTTAGTTTTTTTATTAAAAAAATTGACTCAAATCCTACACGATATGGTTCTAGTGTTTGTATAAATACATCGATTTAAGTGACATGCGTGCCCTTACCACAAAGAACGTTAACGTTTAAATTTGTTTATAATTATATCTTTAACTCATGAGTGATATTAGAGAAAACACAAATAAATATTTATAAAAATTAAAAGAGGTTAACTATATAGTTAATTCTTAATATTGACATGTTCAATTTTATGGTAGAAGTTAGTGAGTAATATATTCACCTGATTTTTACTGATCTGAACTTATCTTAACTTATTAGACCTTATTGAAACTTATCTTAGTTGTAATTATCTAAAATTATTACATATGAAATAAGTAAAAATAAAGTGAACAGAATTGACTCTTAACCTCAGCCAATTATTACACCAATTATCTGTCAAAAACAATTATTGCACCAATTATCTATCAAAAATAATTATTGCACCAATCATAGGTATGATTTGATTACTAAAATTGTGATTCATTTCCATAGAAGTTGATTTGGGACAATATCTTAATTAATATCGAGTTAATGTTAAGAATAATTAAACTTACCTTTTAAATTTTTGGGCAGGAAAAAAAAATTGTGTAGAGATATTGATATTATTACACTACTTCGTATAATAGAATATGGTGGACCATGTGGTGGGGTGGTAAAGAGCTGAGGGGTAAAAACGAGAATTTTCATTGTCATAAAAAACATATCTAACCGTAAATTAGAAGTATGTATGTGTTTATATATATATATCTTAATTCGATTTTGAGATAGTATTGTAGTCCATATTGAGTTAAAGATATTAATTGACACTTTGTTTGAATACAATAAAATGGAAGGAAAAGAAGAGAAGAACAAAAAAAGGGACAAATTCTCTTGTAAATTTTAGAGATTTAGAATGAAAATAAAGCCCACTTTTCCCCTACCATTCATTTCTCTTCCCTTCCCCCTCTTTCATTCTCATTCCTTTCCTCCCTTCTTTGTTATACAAACAAAACACAAGGTTATTTTAATGTAAATGAACTTCTTGCTTATTAATCTGTAACATTTATTTTCCATTAATCTCCAACCAAGCTATGCAAAGTTAATTTCATACTTCATAGTATAATAACTTTGGTCTATTGTATTATGACACAAGTTATTCAATTACTAAATTTTCAAACAATACTTTGTATGTCTTTTGTCTTTACAAGTTTATAGAAATTAGAAACTTAGATCCTATGTCGAATTGCAATGAAAACTAATTTCAAATAAGACCAAGCATACTTATTAGGTTTTTGTTTAGGGATTAAATGTTGTCATAACATTATTCATGCAAAAAAGTATAAAGATAGAAAATCAAAAATAAAGAATGCTTAGAATTAAGTGATTCACTAATGTGTGAGCTCGAATGTGATGCCATCAATCTGTCAAATGCTATTAACAAGAGAAGCAATATAATGGGAGGTCTGTTTTCGATATGCTTATGGATGATATTTGGTGATTGAGTGATGAATTTGTTGGCTCTTTTTATTTTCATGTTAAAAAGGAATGGGAATGTTGTGGCACATTTAACAGCTAGAGTAGTCCTTGTTCTTTTAAGCTGTTTTGCTCTGCCCTGCTCAAAATCTGCTATGTTCTGCTGATATATACTAAGATTACCTACACATTAGTGTAAAAGTCGAGGTTATATATAAGAAAAATGCAGAAAACACAGGGTTAAAAACTCGTACTCCCTAGTCCCTTATTGATAATCCGGCCTAATTTAAGTCCTAAAATGATAGTCTCGTTTGATTTTTCCAACAATTATTAGAGCATCCACAATGGCAAACTACATATACATGTAGTTTTGGGTTGTCACGTCATAAATCTCCAAGTTATATGATTTAAGCTACAACCTCTACAATGGTAAGCTACATTATTCTTTTATAATAAATAAACTATAAAAAATAAAATAATAAATAAATAAACAAACAAATATATAAAATATACTTTTTTACATTCCTAGTTTCCTTTTTGGGTATTCCAAAATTACATTCCTCCTTTCCTTTTTTAGTAAGTGTTATTTTTCCAAATACTCCAAATTATTTCTCTTTTTCTGTTTTGTAATTAATGCTCACTCTTATTTTCTCATTATTACTTTCATATTCTTACTCTTATTTTCTCACTCCTCCTTCCAGAATCCTTGTACCTAAATTTAGATGAATTTGATTGGTTCTTAATTTTCCAATAGGAGCATGTTATTGGTCCTTTTTTTTTACAAAGGATTGATGACATAACATCATTAAATATTAATCTATATTTGTTTTATTCAAAAACATCATTTAATGTTTTGTACTTCCCATTGTGTGTTTATTGTTTTATTCTTAACTACTTTGGTGCCCATGCGATGCCCAGGTATTTATTAAATTTAAGATAATTTTTATTTACATTATGTAGTAGGTACGTAATAAAAACTAATAATAATATTTTGAATAAAATTATAATTCAATTTAATATTGGTATTTTATCGAAAATAAAATTATAAATTAACATTTTTATCCTAAAATTCTATCCAAATAGAATTCTAAACTATTTTTTTTTTTATCTTATGAAGTCTATTTTAATCTGTCCAACATGGCGCGACACTTGGAGAAAAGTTGAAACGCCAAGTGTCGCTGTCTCGTGACCTGGCTAAAAGTTTAGCTTTATATATTAGTTATATGATTTTTAAATTCCCATGTAATTTTACAAACAAGAATGTAAAAAAGGGACGGAGGGAGTACTACGTATTAAACAAATAAATATGATAGCATTGGGTAGAGTGAAACTACATAACTTTATAGAGGTATGTAGTTTGACTTATGACTTTTGGCTTATGACTAGCATGTACTCCGTAGCTAGTAATTATTTAGCAAGTCCTTTTACACAACCATTGTGGATGCTCTAAATATTACGGAGTAATGTTTTTTCTTAAAAAAAAAAAATCAAAATTCCCTTTAAATTGCATCAATATTTGTATAAATTTAGCTTCTCTATGTAAATTTAGTATTTCCATATACAAAGTATTTTTTTTATTACTTTCTCTCTCTAACTTTTTGTATACCCCACATAAATTTCCCTTTCCAACGTACTTTTAGTATTGTTTTATTTATATTTCTTAAGTTCGAGAAATTTACCGGGAAATATAGTAAATTAGCACCAAGACTTTAACTCTATGTTCAAATTACCCCCTTAACTTTTAATTATAGCAAATGGACCCCAACACTTAACATATCGTGCAACGTACATCTGAGCATCATTATTTAACAATAAATTCATCAAAACATGCTAATTTTTTGTATTAATAATAAGCATTAAGAGTATTATACATGCGTTATATTTCTTACCATTTCAATTAAACTAGCATAGTGCCCGTGCGATGCACGGTTTATAAATCAAATTATTAAACTCGTAGGAAAAATAAAAATAAAAACAAAGGTAATTCATTTACTATTAAAGGACTTGGTTACTAATGGTCAATAAAAAAAAATAAAAGAATGTTATTTGAATAATATTCTATGTTATTTGAATTTCTTTTAATTTTTTATAATGTTATTTTATTAATTGAAAAATAATTGAATAATACTCCACATAGCTATATAAGAAGTGAACATATTTATTTATATCTCTCGTTGAAAAAAAACTAAAATTTTCTTATCATACCATCCGCATCAGTAGCTACAATCAATCTTATATATACATGTTTTATTTACCCGTCGCACTCATTAAATCTATAGACACAATAATAACCTTATATTTGACCTACCAGAACATATGTTTTCCTAAGTTAAGCATTGTGCCAAAAACTACATATTATATAATAGTCATATACATAACCAACAGCTGATTAAATTAAATTTAATATACAACACAAATACTTTGTATATAGGTATGGATACTGATATATAAATAAAATATACGGAATATATATTACTAAGATTTATCCCTACCTTAATTATAAAATGGTTAACAAAACTCTTATAATAGTGCATGGACATTTATATATCTAAAAATGTTCTTTATACATATATTTTCCCCCATTTAATTTTAAAAGCATTAAAATTGTCTCTTGAATTCGCTAAATTGATTTAAAAGGTTATGTTTATTTCAATATTTAAAGCCATTTATTATTTTTATTTCCTTTTGTTTTAATTTTTCTATTTAGAATTTATTAGACTATTAGGTTTCAAGATCGAAGTTAATATCTTTTTGCCGTACAATCACTAAATCAAAGTTGCTCAACTAAAGTTTTGGACATTGCATAGCTACACAACATCCAACACATTTAATGATTATATGCAAATAATTTTAATAAAACTACGCATTCGATATAAGTTATTAAACAATTTAACTATATAACTATATATACATTTTGATAGGTTTATATCTTTCATATTAACAAAAATTTACAAATGTTATTATTATATTTTGAAAAAAAAAATTAGAATTTGGAGTTTTGTATAAGATAGATAAAGGATAAGTTAATTCCCGTCATATATGCATTGAGTTTTGGGTGTCTATCCGGTTCACCCTTTGGGCTAATCCAGATTTGAGGATCTGTTCTAGGCTATAAGGTTCCACTCCCCTTTCGATTGTTGTTGCAGGGGAGCAAACACAGGTCCTCTTTACCAAGTGTAGTCTCAATCACCACTACACCAACAACCAATCACTTGGTATGGAGGACACGTATTATAAAATATTATATTATATACATATACTTTTTTATATTGTAAAAAATATTATATTATATACACATATTATTATAGTTAAAAGTATTATTATGTATAAAACAACATAAATTATTGCACATGATTGTTGTATATCTAGTATAGTACATGAGCAATGCACGATTTTTAAATCAAAATGTTAGTTTTTCTAAAAAAAATTCATAAGTAATAGCATTGTTAATACGAATATTACAATTTAAAACACGAGTAATAGTTATAATACATTTTATATCTATCATTTTTCCGTCAAATGTCTAATTCAATTTAACATTTATTCTTCTTGTTTAGATTGGTTATTGGTTCAGTTTTTTTTTTTTTTTTTAATTGCAAGAAAAACAAAAGGTCATTGTAAAAGACATTGTATAGAAAATGAAAGGCCGATTAAAATTAAAATTTTTGTTCAAGATTATGTATTTTTTTCCAAGACAACATTTCGGCTCAGCATTAAGTATTTGTCAAGGAGTACAACAAATGATAAAAGTAATTTTTACACTATTTTGTATCTTTATCAAAAACTTTTGTATTCAACTTACTTGAATTGAATTTAGGATAACTTGTAGACTATTTTGGGTATCTTTTATCAATAAAGCATAAATAACTTTCATTCATTACAGGGTAGCTTTTATAATAGGTGCACAATATTTTATTGTACATCTGATTTTTTTAAAATGTTTGTATTGATTTCATAATTGAAGTCAAACTAAATTCTATCGATTTTATTTAATTTTCATAAAAAAAAAATAATATTAGCCTTTCAAAATACGAAATATTTGTTTTTTTTATTAGACCACTATAATCATATTGTTTCAAATTAGTTATTATTCTTAAATTGACTATAAATAAAGATTGGATAGACTTTATGGATTATTTGTAGTATTGGAAAGTATATATTTATTATAAAAAAATTAAATCAATATTTATGTTAGGAAATCATGAAAATCTTATACGTGGATATATAACTTGCTTTTATTGTTTGGAGTTTAACAAAAATAACTATGCTTGAATATGTAAACAGTAATTATATAGATATATTTTATACTTAAGATAAGCCAATGAGAGAGTGACATTTGTCATCCTCACATTGAGGCGCTTGTCTTTTAGTATAATATATAGATAGATAGATATATAGATGTGAGCAATTGAAGAGATTAATCAAGTATGATGGTTTGCTAAATTCCGTTAATTTTTTCGCCCTTTGTCATATTTCAGTGTCGATAATTTCTATATTTTATAGTATGTATTTAATATGTATGATAATGTATATGCACAGTATTTTGGATGTAATTAATTTTTTTTTAACTTTTTTTTGTCTTTTATTGGAGTATATTTTATGAAATTTATATATTTTAATGTGATTTTGCTCAAATTTGATGAATAGGTTTTGATTGCACAATTATATTAAGTTGTGGGGTTAATTTGCTACAAGTAAAAGTTATGGGGTTACTTTACACCTGCAATAAAAGTGTTGGGGCTAATTTGCTACTACACCCGAAATTTACCGGACTATTAATAAGGGACAGAACGGTAAATTTAATCTTTTTCAACTTAAAAAAAAAAAAAAAAAAAAAAAAAGGTTTATAGTACTTTGGTTGGAGTACTAGATTAGATTATGGCCTGGGTTCGCTACTACTGAGCTTTCATCTCTCTCCTCCACCTTCTTAATTCTTTCGACAAAATTTGCTATACTACGTGAGTTTTACACAATTGTTCAATTTCGCTAAATTATTGCTTTTATTTTTTTTATTTTGGCAATTTTGTGCTCAATTATTGAATTTTGATTTGGTGAATTTATAGCTTTCTCTATTATTTCTTTTTTTTTTGTTGCTGAATTATGTAATTTCATTTTTGTTATGAATTTTTTGGGTTGATTTATCAAATTTATTGGAAATTCAAGTAATCTTAAGTATTTTGTTTGCAGGGTTTAATTCAATTTAAATAATATAAGAACCAATTTGATTATTGGAGGGTGTTATATAGAATGTAAAAAATTAAAAAACGTTTGATTAAGTAATTGCATAAACTATGAGTTGTTCAATTTGCTTAGTTAAACTCATGTTTTTGTTGGAATTCCAGCTATTTTCTGTTGTGATTTAGAATGTTTGGGCCAAAAGTACATTGAATTTACTGACTGTTGGTTGATGTTATAATGCTGTTTCATATATTATGCTGCTACTTTAAGCTGTGAATATTTGTTTTGATCTTTTGATGGATTTATAGTTGCCTTATCAGTGGAAAATCGAATTTCCGAACTTTTTGTTAAATTATGATTGAAGTTGATTGGTGTTCTGTGACTGAAAATTTCAGAACAAAGCTAATCGAGGCGGTTTTGTATGCTGTGATTGATTGGTGTACTGTGACTGAAAATTTCAGAACAAAGCTAATCGAGGCGGTTTTGTATGCTGTGAAGGAAGATGAATGTGAAGGTACCTTAGTATGGAAGATGATTTTGTTATTTTCCTTGCTTTCAAATTCATTGTTGCCTTGAATCCTTGATGTCACTGTTTTGGTTGGTGGTGTAGTCTTTGACATGTTTAGAATTTAGAATTAGTTTGATGATGTAGGAAATTATTTGTGTTTTTGTAACTAGTAGCGGTTCTTGAGGAGTTGTTATGGCTTATTTTATCTGTTCTTTATTTATTGTTTTGTATGATGGTGGCACACATTAGTAGGAGAGAAATAGATAGAGATAAAAAAGAGAACATGTGATGGGGAGGGAGGGGGAAAAAAATGTTACCAATATGGCAATATGGATCTATAGCTATGAAACTTTCAAATTAGGAAATTGTAACAAATTAATAGAGATCGGAGGAAGTATGTAAATTATAGAATCACTTCACTTGTGTTAGTCATTGCTTGTCAAAATTGGTCCAATTACCAACCTGTTGTATTTTTATTCAACTTTGGATAGTTGCTGGAGCATCCTGATGGTTCCTAAGAACTTGTCATTTTTTTTTATATGTACTTGGTTGACAAATTAAATTTTTAGTATACAAATTACTGAACATGTTTAGTTTGGCAGAAGGTGCCAAAGAGGGAGGAAGAAGAACCAACCGAATCATTGCATGACCGTGATGGTCAGGATGGTTCCACTGCATCCGAGGCTCAAACAGACTCGCCTTCATCTCTCCCAAATGAGGGTCACCGGAAAGTGACATGTGAAGATATTAAATTTGTGAGGATGATATCTGCATCTATATTAATTTTGAAAAATTGGTAGATCAATGCCCCTCTAATCATTCTAGATGTTATATTTATGTTTACTCATTTGAATCTCATTTCAGGTCCAAGCCCTGATTGAAAGGTGTCTGCATTTGTACATGACTGAAGATGAAGTCGTAACCATGCTTGTAAATCAATTCAAATTAGAAAAACATTTTATAAATCTTGGTAAGGAAGTTCACTTAATGTTCATTAATTTTTTTGTTACCTATTCAGTTTTCCACTTGTTCAGTTGTCTGTGAAATGCTATACAAACTATATGTGGATGTGTCTACGTCTTGACTTTTTTTTTTCTTCTTTTTTTCTCCCCAGTTTGGCAGAGATTGGAAGAAGAAAATCCCGATTTTTTTAGTGCTTATAATGTAAGGCTAACTTTGAAAAAGCAGATCATATTATTTAATCAACTGATGGAGAAGCAGTTCCACTTGACAAAGATTAGAGATTTCCATAATTCAAAGCAGCCTTCACAAAATGGTCATAGTCAAGGTAAGATTTTGTAGATGAATCAACCTTATTCTTCTTAATAAATGCACTACAGCAGGAGTTCAAAGTACATGAAGGACTTTTCTATTATATCGAGCTAAGAAGTTCGTTTCCCTGTACATACCGCTAAAACATTCAAGGGGAAATTGAACCCTAGAGTAATTATAATCTTTCGTCAACTTGCCGTAATTATATTCATTTTTGCTAGACTTGTTACTAATTTCTTCTGTTGTTTGGTTCTGCAGTAAACTCGTCCTTTGGACATCTTCCCCAACAGCCTTATTTTCCATCTACTGGTGCTACAGATATGGATTCAATGCCGTATGGGTCTCCATATCATGTGGTAGATGGGGTTCCTGCAGTAGGCAACTTCAATTTCATTCAACAGAATGGGTAAGGAAACCCTTTATTAACCCAAATTCATAAGCACATGTGGTTTCTTTTTAATAATACCCTCTCTTCTTGATAGTGGTGTTTATTATGTTGCTTCTGGTTCCATTTACACTGAGAATGGTTCCATCAGTATTGTTGTGGCGCATCATGTCTTGCAATATTTATCAATAAAGTGTTTACAAGATAGTTTTGTGAACTTCATATGAATTTCTCACACTTCAATTGGCTTTTAATTGTATCAAAAAAAGTTGTGGCTATGAGGTTGTTTATTGACCTGAATTTTAATTACTTGGCAAGTTGGCATCTTTGAATCCCTACCTATAACTGCTATTAAAAATACCGGTGCCCATTTTGTTTGCACACTGCTAGAATGGTACTTCCTCTTGTAGGACAAGGCTGCATGTTTTACAAGGTTATCATAAATTCTAGTTTAGCGGCTGGGGTTAAGTCCATGAGTAGTTAGACGTTGCTGTTTGGAGAAAGAGGGGAAGGAAACCAGTTAACGAGGTACTGTTGGGCTTGACGGTGACAAATGCCAGTAATGGAAATTTATACATGTTGTTTGGTTTTGAACTTGATACTGTTTGAGGTATCATGCAACAAAGAGTGCAGAATTCTGCTATTGGCTTATTAATCCAGTTCTTTACTCTCCATACCTCTTCTTGAGGATTGTTGCATATATGCTTGTGTCTTTCTGTAGCTTTATCAAAAAAGTAACTGAAAGTGCATCATTCCTAGCATGTTTTCTCTTTTATTCGGTTGCTATATAAGTTATAATGCAGAAGCTTTGCACTTTTATGCCTTACTAACAGGTGTTTGTTGAGCAGAGAGGCTGCTAGTGGCAACCATGAGATGAATATAGAATCCTATGATCAAGTCTCATATGAACCTCATGAGTTTCAGAGATCGAGTGGTCAATCAATGGCATTTGGTGCAAGTTTTCATTCCAATATGTGCAACATCGAAGGGTTCCAACCTGCTCTGGATGGTGGTGGTGGAATATCTTTTGATAATCTTGTTTCACACCATAATTTAACAACCAATTTGACCAATATAGGAGGTGATTTGCTTTGCTTGTAGAAATGTATCTGTACCTTCTCACTTGTACATAGAGCTCATAAAAATGTTATTTGATCTTCTGATTGTATTGGTTTGATGTTTAAATGTCTATGCTTGTTGCTAATTTAACGTTACTGATAAAAAATAAGATTATCAGAAGAAATTGTTATACTGTAGCACATTTAGTTCTGGTATGTCATCTAATAATTTGTGTTTTTATCAATCCACAGATCTTGCAGCATTCCAGAGCAACCAAAGTTCCCTATTCCCAAATCCTGAAATAGTAGATATTGTGGGCGGGTCTCCTGATGAATGTGACATAGGTACTGTTTACTGCTTGTTTCTTTCCTCTCATCATCTGCTCCTGTAGAAACTCACTTATTTGGTGCTTAGCTTGGTAATATAATGTGCAACATTAATAGATCTAATTGCCATATAAAATCTGACCATACTGGCAATTGGATCCATTTAATGTTGCACAATATGCACCTCTACTTCCGCTGAGAACCCAAAAGAATAAATCCAAATAAAATAGAAGAGATGGATTCGAAAAAGTGAAGAAATTCACTTGGGCCAAAAGATAGTAAAGAAATTTTGGGGCGCTTCAAACATGTTAATTGTCACTGTTCGTAGCATCCTTTCTTTTTCTGAAAGAGTATCTCCAATAGGAAGATAAAATATGATGTTGCAGCTGGCAGCTTAATTATGTTCATAATGCTGTAATATTGTGTTTTCCTATCTCCATTTTTTACTTCGTTGTAAGTAATTATTGGAATTGTTCTGCTTATTTATTTTTTTCCTTTCAGCTGATTACTTCATAGCCGATGAAGTTCCCTATCCAGAACCCCTGTTTGGAATTGACAAAGGTGAATCATAGCTGGGTGATGATAACTGTACTGACCTCGCTCGTGACTGCAAATTACATAGGACTGGTATAAAAGTAAGAGATAATGACACCAGAAATCTGAATTGAGGAAGTGAGCTGTCAAATAGACAATCAACTCATTGTTGAAGAAGCTGATTAGCTGATGGGCGTTTACAAAGTTTTGGATACTTTCTATACTTAACTTCATAGAGCGAAGCTCTCATTCTTTGACAAGCTCGGCAATTGTATCTGATTGGATAATATGCTTGGTGTGTTCTTGGCTTTGCTTTCGTTTGAGGGGGCTGGGATGTCGAATGGTTTTCTACTCCTTTATTTTGGAAGTGATATGGGCTCGATTGTGTCTTTAATACGTAGTACTTTTTCATTGCCAAAATCAAGTCAGCCTAGTGAACTTTGAGAAGTTCAGTCATCTATGACCTATTTTGTCCAAGCTACAAGAAGAAACCTGAAACAGATTCAAGGGAACTGTTACACGGATAGGGTGTAATCTATAGAAGTCACATTTGTTTTTTTCCCTTAAAACAACTAATTGTTTATCTTTGTTGGTTTGTTACTCTTATAATCAAGGCTGGGTTTTGTGTATCTATTGTATTCAAGGAGTTCATTTGCAAGTTTATCGTTGCTTATTACATTGCTCCATGTTTGAGAGAGTGAAAACATTTACTTATAAAGTTATAATATACGAGGCGTAAATAGTTGATGGCATAAAAACTGTTTACAAGATACGGAGTAATACTAATGGTAACACCCTAATTATGTTCTCGGGTGCATAATATGTGTTTGTTAGTTTGCAAGACCAATGATCTCAACTCTATAGCTAGCTTGCGAGTTGCGACTCAATGTGAGTTTTTTGGAAGCTACTACAAAGAGAAAGCAAAGGGAATCGGATTCGTGCACCCTAGCGAAGGTTTCCATGTTTCATCACTCAACTTAATTACAATTCACTCATTTTATGTTGGGTGTTTTCTTTCCTAATTAATTGTTAATGAAGGTAGTACGAGACTACGAGCTTACTAGTTCAGTATGTAGTTCTTGTATTATAGATCTAGGAGAAGTCTACTATATTTGGTTATTGATTAAGGGGTGAACAGAACTAGTGGTGGATTTAGGATACTTCCTCCGTTCTTTTATTATAGCACCACTTGTCTTTTAAAGGAGTTTTACAAATATTGCATCATTTCCATATTAGGATAAAAAAAAGGCCTTGTACACTTCACCTAAATAAAATAATGTTCAGTCCGTCTTGTGTGCGGCCGGCCATACCGTGTGACCACTTAAAGTAACCCCTATAATATTGATTAAGTAACCCCTGTAATACCGACCGAGTAACCCTATAACACTGACTGAGTAACTCTATAACCATGGCAAAATAACCCCTGTAATACTGACCAAGTAACCCCCATTACACTAGCAAAGTAATCCCTATAACACTGACGAAGTAACTTTATAACAATGACGAAGTAACCCCTTTAATACTGACCAAGTAACCCCATTACACTAGCAAAGTAATTCCTATAGTGGCATATAAAGTTAAAATAATTTCATTTCAGCATAATTAATTTTAGTTCAGTAAGTTTAGTTCAACAAAAATAATTTCACTTCAGTAAAAATAATTTCGGTTCAGTAAATACTTAACATACCCTTACTTTTTTTCACACTTACGAGTATTATTTAGTTTTACATCACATGGATACTTTTATATTTTTACTTTTCTCTCTCTTCCTTTTTTCCGTTACCAAAATTATTGTGTCAAACTTGTAGGGTGTGCAATAATAAAAACAAACGGAGGAAGTACTAGAAGTTTCGTCCAAAAGTACCTCGTACATTTTATTTCAATTGCTCCATTATTTCTAGTATTGAGTATTGACAATGGAAATAATGTTAATAATCTAACCAATAATCTTTAAGATTTTGAATGGACTACGACTAGTTAAGACAATCTACGAGGAGGAAGTATTGCAGACAAGTCAATTACATGTATGTATCTCATTTTCATTTTCAATTCATATCAAGTTTTCAACATCATTACATCAAACACTGAACATATTACATACTGAAGAAAATACAGAATAGTCTTATTAAAAATACAAATAATAGATCTTTCAAAGCATACAAAAAACATTTATACTTGTTTGATTGACAGTGTGAAGATGTTCATGACTAGGGGTGCTAATTGAGTTGAGCAGCTCGCGAACAACTCAAACTTAACTCGGTCAAAACTCAACTCGAGTTAGCTAGACTCGAATTCGACTTGACTCCAGAGGTTAACGAGCACAAATTGAGCAAGCTCTAACTCGACTCAATAAGCTCGTGAGCAACTCGATAGTATATATTATTAATATAAAATTAATAAATAAAGTTATCATGTTTAAACAAATTTGACACTTAATAAGTGTTAATTTATATTATCAAAAGAGAAAGAGTAATTCTTTAATAATAAATATATAAAATAAAAATAAAACAATATCAAGTGAACAAAAATAAATAAAGGCATATAATTATAGAAGGGCAAAAAGTTTAATGAGCAGATCGTGAGCAGGTTTTATTAGCTCGAAACTTTAGCGAGCACGGATTGAGTAAATGTAAAAAGTTTTCGAGTCGAGTCATTCATAACTATTGATAGTTTGAGCAATCGTTTGATCAATTTGTTGACTGTGCACTAGAATCGTCGTCGTCCAGGTAGAAAACGTGCTCCCTTAATGAGAATAATCAATAATGTAACTTATTCTTGAGAGAAATTTCGATTACATGCATATTAGGTTAACTTAATTTTCAAGCTCTACTCGCATCAAATTTTTTCAAGTGAAAACACTGAACATTTTTCAGTATTCAAGAAAATTCGAAATAGTCTAATAATGAAATAATAAACATAGTCCTATGTATCCCCTCCCCCCCTAAAAAAAAAATAAAAATAAAAAACATAGTCCTATGTATAAGAAGCTAATATATATATATATATATATATATATATATATATATATATATATATATATATATATATATATATATATAGAAATGGGATCATATGAGACCACATCCCTTATGTGAGAACCCTATTATATGTGAGGACTAATTATAACCGTTGGATCAATTACATCCAACGACCACAATTAAATCCCGGTCAAACAAAACTACTGTGTTTTTTCTCTCTTCTCCTTCCTCTTTCACGCACTATTTCCTCTCTCCTCACAATTTCACTATTTTCTACTCTCTTTCTCTCTGATTTCTCATCACTACTCCTCCAATCTTCATCAATTGTTTTTCAAGGTGAGTTTATTGTTTATATTTTCGTGTTCATCAATTAATTTTAGGTCACATTCAGTTACATTTGTTGATTTTCATTTTGATTTTCGTTTGATTTTCGCTGATTTCAGCTCACACTGTTTATCAATTTCTGTCGATAATGTTTTACTTTGTTTTTTTCATTGATTTCAGTTTTATTTTCGTTTTTTTTAGTAGTTATCAAGTTGATTTTGCTTATTTTCGTTATTGTTCAGTTTTTTCGTTTTTTTTGGAAACCTACAATTCACTGATAATTTGTGCTATTATGTTCATTTTAGCTTGATTTTAGGTATTTTAATTATTTTGTGTATTTTAATTTGATTTTCGGTTTACTTTAGTTCTCAATTATGTTTTATTTTCTGGTTTTATCTTATTTTTTGTTTGATTATAGCTTTATTTGAGTAATTATTAGTTGATTTTAGTTTTCATTTTGCTTCATATGAGTAATTATCTTACATTTTCTTTGTTTTTTTTTGGAAACCTAGAAGTAATTGCAATGGATTCTGCAAATGTTCCTCAAGAAAATACAATGTATGTGTTTCTGCTCATTTTATTTTTATTATTTGAGTTATTATTATTTTTGTTGTTGTTGTAGATTAGTTGATTAGTTGTATTACTTGTATGGGAGTTCTTGTAGATTAGTTGATAACTTGTTCATTTTATGTTTTGTTGTTCATTTATGAAATATTAGATTTTTAATTGACAGTTACAAGCAATAAAAAGTTGTAGATTATGTTGGGAAGTAATTTTCAATACATCTAAAACTGCCACAGGTTAATACTTGTATGTGAAAGCAAATAGGAAAAAAAAACAGTTTAAGATGGGAAGTAATTTTCAATACATCTCTTTTGTTTGTCTTAGAAATTATCACAATCAAAATTCCCTGTGCAATGTTATTACTATCGTCACCACAAAGCTACCAACTTCGTTGTGTACTTAGTTCGGATTTTCACATTAGAAGCCAAGATACTGATAGTTAGAAGGCGTTTTACTGTTCGGTTTTTCACATCAGAAGCCTAGAAGTTAGTTCATTATGTTGCACATCAGGTCTTAAAGTAGATATCAGCGAGAAAGAATTTGAGTTTAAAAACAAGTTCTCTAACTTCTTCACAGCTTTGAAAGTAGTTGATTTGTTCATTTTATGTTTTGTTTTTCATTTTAGCACTAAGTATTTGCTCATTTGAGAAATGAGCATTTAAGTTTTGTTCATTTTGTTAAATTAGTAGCTAAGTATTTGCTCATTTGACATCAAGGATACCTATTTTGTTGAGCAGGACATCTGTTGAGACAAATTCTGCTGTTAATGTTGGTGATCAAGATGCAGTAGGGGCGGGACAGTTAAGAGTTATTGGTGGTGACCAAGATGCAGCAGGGGCAGCACAGTTAAGAGTTGGTGGTGACCAAGATGCAGCAGGGGCATCACAGTTAGGAGTTGTTGGTGGTGACGAAGATGCGGCGGGGCCAGCACAATTAGGAGTTGTTGGTCGTTCTACACAGCCACAATATAAAGGAATGAGTTTCAAGATAGGATCTTCTAATGACAAAGGGAAAATGGTTTTAAAGGACACATTAAAGAAAGAAAAACAGATGATTAAGGTAGTGGAGATGAAATCCAGCAATGAATTGCAAGTTTTGAAGTCAGGTAATGAAGTGGAAGGTTTGAAGTCTCACATTCATGGGACATTGCATAGTCGGATGTCACCCTCATCCATTGTTCAAGTTATGGAATCAGTTTTACTTTCACAAAATCAGTTGAAAGCAGTTAGGGATATAGGATTTGGGTCGATGGAGTTTTTGAAGGTGACCCAACTGCCTTTGCGGTTGGGTTTATGGTTGGTGCAACACTTTGATGCTAAGACGTGCTCATTAAATATTCCTGATTCTGATCCTTTCCGTATTACTGAAGACCATGTGCATGAAGTTCTTGGGTTGCCAATAGGGGGCATAAAGATTGATAAAAATAATTTTTCCAGAAATAAAAAAGTCATTCAACAATGGAAAAAGCAATTCCAAAGCAACTCACTCTCTATCAAAATAGGGGAGCTTAAAGAGTTTTTGAAGGAGCATAAGTCAGCTGGTGCTATGTTCAAACGGAACTTTGTAGTTCTTTGTGTGTCTACACTGATGGATGGTAGTCTTCTTATTTTTATTATGCTCATTTTACTTTCAATTTTCTCATTTTCAATTTAGTTTGCTCATTTCTATTTTATTTTGCTCAGTTAAATTTCTATTTGCTCATTTCTCTTTTGTTTTGCTCATTTTTTTGTCAGGGAAACAAAACATGAATATTAATTCTGATATTCTTACATTTCTTTCTGATGTTGATAAAATCAAGGACTTGAATTGGTCAAAGTATATCCTTGATTCTCTCGTGAAGGGCAAGCTTTTATGGGAAGAACGTCCAACTCGTTCTTTTCCTATGTCTTTATTGTTTCTTATGGTATTACTATAATTTTTGTATATTTTTAATGTAGTATTTCTTACTTATTTGTTGATTTTTAATTTACTAATTTTTCTTTTCTTACTTGTTTGTAGTTATTATATGTTGATCAATTTGTACTTGAGGAAGTTCGAGCTGCACGTGAAATTCCAATCTTGAAAGGGTGGACAATAGCTATGCTGTCAACACGTGAGAAATTGGAACTCTTTAAAGGGAGGCTTGGAAATATTCGTGCTAAAAAGCTTGATGCTGGTTCTTCTAGCATGACACAGCCTAAAATGGTGTTTAACTATAATTTTCTGTTTTATTTTTTTCCTTTTTATCCTACTTTTTTAACTTTTTTGTTTTTATTTAGGAAAAATTCATTCCTTCTGAAGTGGAAACTCAAGTAGTTGCCAATAAGGTAACCATATATACTGTAATATTCTTTGTTCTTTTTGGAAATGACCAACTAATTTTTGCTCATTTGTCTAATGAGTAAGCAATTACTTGCTCATATTTGAAATGAGCAAATAATTTTTTACTCATTTGACAGATGAGCAAATTATGCAATTGGTTATGTGTTATAAGTAAGCTTGGTTTATATTTGTTAGGATATTTGGTTTCAACTTGTTCTAACTTTCTTTTTCTTTTTTTTTTGTTTTGTTTATGTTTGACTTTAGGAACAATCTGATCCAATTCGTACAAAAAATGAAGAAAGTGAACAAGATCCAAAGAAGGTATTTATATGAGTTTTCTGGAAGCCAATATTAATTTTTTGTTTATTTTTAGAGTTCTTCTTAGTATGATGCATAGAGGCAAGTGGCCATATGTGTGCTTTTGCATTACTCATATGCATGTCATGAATATAGAAAAAGTATTTTATGTAAATGTTGGTATTTGGTTACTGCAATCTTGTGAAACTCATATATGATAAATATGTGGATATTTCTTGTGAGCAGGAGCATTATAGTTCTTAATTTTTTGCTCATTTGTCAAATGAGCAATTAATTTTTTGCTCATTTGTCAAATGAGCAAAAACTTCAATGCTCATATAAAGTTCAATTTGCTCATTTTTATATGACTTTGCTCATTCCATATCCACTTTACTTATTCCATATTTACTCTTCTCATTTATATTTATCTTATTTATGTATTTATTTATTTATTTATTTTTTTTACAGAAATGCCTTATGGAGCTTGCAACATCATCTACAAACCTGGTCTTGGCATACATGTATTTCAGTCAAAAACATGAAACTGCCATCAAGTATTTTCCAAACAACGAGAAGATACAAAATTTGAAGGAAGATGCCATGGGCATTTGTGATGAGCATAAGATGAGCTCCAAAACTTTGACTGAAGATAATACTCTTTCATTTAGCCAAGATGAAGAGTATTGGCAAGATCCAGCGGTAATTGAAGCTTGGGATAGGTTTTCTCAGATTTCAAGCAACAAAAAGCATGCTGAATCTTCATTCAATGCAATGGTTGTTCATCCAAATGAATCGGAACCCATTGATGTTACTAAGATTGCTTTTGAAAGTGTTCAGATAGCAAGTTGTATCCCTGATGTTGGATGTTCAGATAGGGCTGCTAAAAATGTGTTCAAAAAAAATTAGAGATTCAAGTTTCAAATCTGCTTCAGGACATTCACTTGCCAAAGGATCTGGAACTCCTACATTCAGTTTAGGAGTCTTTTCTAAAGAAACTAATTCTCCCCCTAGCAATGCGCCTACTGAACCTGTAGTTTCTTCTGTCAGTGCACAAGTTGGTGCTTCTGTTGCTGATGCTTCTCAAGCTGTTGGTGATGCTCTGATTGCTAATCCTCAAGATCTCATTTCTGATGCTCAAGAAGCTTTAATTGTGCATAAGAGAAAAGGTGATACTGAAAAGAAGAGTTCTATTCCAAAGAAACGCAAACCCCAGCCATCAGTGCTTCTTAGATCACCTTTTAAGTCCCGCATTATGATAATTTACAATCCATTATCACCAGTTCAGATGAGCGTCTTGAAGGCAATGTTTGCTGATGATAAAAATCGTTTGTAAGTATTTTTTTTATCTATAGAATTTATTATCTTGTACATTAACTTCCATTTGTTTTAGACATACTAACTTTCTTTATTCTTTTTATGCAGTGAACCAGTATTTAATGGAGAGAATGGTCTTGAAATTTTGAGAGTACATCTTGAGAATCTTTATAATAAATATAAAGTTGATACAGAGATCATTAATGCTTGGTGTAGCATTCTGAATTATAATGAGCAGTTTAGAGATCCAAATTCTCCTGCTCGTTTCTTTTTTGACCTTAGTGCTACCACTCTTTCATTTATTTTGTTTTTTTTGTTGTAATTAATTTTTTTTCTTTAACATGTAGGACTGTCTTATTCACTATGAGATAGATTCTGTTGCCCATCGGAATAAGATGTTTTTTGAGGTTGCTGAGAATTTGTACATGAAATCAGTTGTACCACACAAAGATATTCAGCTTTTTTTCTTCCCAGTTTATGAAGAAGATCATTACTATTTGGTATGTTTTAACACTACCACACTAAATGGTAATATCGAGCTTTTTGATTATAACAAAGATGCTGGAGATCATAAACAGCTTTTAAAACATTTGGTATGGCTTAAAAGTTAATCTATATTCACATTATGTTTGTTTCTTTTACTTGAATGATTAGATTTTATTATGTTTGCTTATTTGATGTTTTTGTTTTCAGAGAACTGCTTTTTTCAAACTTTATTCAATGTGAAGGAAATGTACAGAGTTCTATTTTGGCAAATGATATCAAGCGGATGGAAATTTCTGTGATTAATGGTTCATGGAAGTCTTCGGATAAAAATCATTTGCATTGTGGAGTTGCAGTGATGAGACTCATGGAAACATACATGGGTTGTGCAAAGTGGGATCCTGGTTTGAAGAAAAATAATGTAAATTCTTTGCTCATTTGAGAAATGAGCAATTAACTTTTTGATTATTTTCTAAATGAGCAAGAAATTACTTGCTCATTTATCAAATGAGCAAAGAAATTTTTGCTCATTTGACAAATGAGCAAGGATTTACTTGTTCAGTTCATAAATGAACAAAGAAATGTTTGCTCATTTCACAAATGAGCAACTAATTCTTTGCTCATTTAAGAAATGAGCAATTAACTTTTTTATTATTTGCTAAATGAGCAAGAAATTACTTGCTCATTTATCAAATGAGCAAAGTAATGTTTGCTCATTTGACAAATGAGCAAGGATTCCTATCAAATGTTTACTTTAATTTTGAGGTCTATGGTCCAATAATCTAGCAATACCGTAGGCCATTGCCTTACAAGTTACAACTGCAACTTGTGGTGTTACTTTTACATGTTTGCTCATGTTATTGAAATCTCCTTAATTGTATAGGGTTTGATTATGTTATTTGTTTTGCAGCTGATAATCTTGACTAAACTTCGTGAAAAGTACACCCTGGGAATAATTACAAGTGAAGTGAACACTATTCAATCTGTTAAAGAAATTGCTCAGAAGAAGAAAAAGCAAAGTAAAGTTTCTGTTGCTGACAAAGAAGAAAATGCTGAAAAAGAAAAGCCTGAAGAAGAAAAAGTTCAAGGAAGAAAGAGCAAAAGACTGAAGAAAGCTGAATGTTAGGGAATTAAATAGTTAGTAGTGATGATTTGTCTTTTTTGGTTTAGGGAATTGGGTAAATTAAGATTTTATCTACTTTTAAGTAGTCTTTGAATGATGTAAAACTGATTTATAAACAGATTTTACCAATAGAAGCCTACCCTTTTTTACTATAGTGATGATTATATTTGAATTAAAATTCAATCTTTTTTTTGTTTTTACTTCACATACCTTGTTATATACAACCGTTTTCATTTGAAATATTCGTTCATTTGTTAAATGAGCAAACAGATGTTTGCTCATTAAATGATAGATCAATGAATTCTTGCTCATTTGATAAATGTTCAAAGAATTTCTTGCTCATTTGATAAATGAATAAAGAAATGTTTGCTCATTTCACAAATGAGCAACTATTTTTGCTCATTTAAGAAATGAGCTTTTACCTTTTTTGATTATTTGCTAAGTGAGCAAGGAATTACTTGCTCATTTGATGATTGAGTAAAGATATGTTTGCTCATTTGACCCAAGGAGAGTTGATTTTGGATTGGGAGATGAAACAAGAGTGCAATTGTTCCAAGTTCATATAATAGCTAATTTGCTCACTTACCAAATGAGCAAATAATTATTTGCTCATTTGACAAAATGAGTAGTTAACTATTTGCTCATTTGATTAATGAGCAAGGAATTATTGCTCATTCGAGAAATGAACAAATATTTAGTCACTAATTTGAATATGTTCTATTTTCAATTCAACAATATTGCAAAGCATTAAACTATGATTAGTTCAAAATTAATAATATATTATTAAATATAAAAATTCAACAAAATCTTATATGTATATAAAAGTACCATTACACTTTTTTTTGGACAATTTCTAATATCATGATGACTCAATTCACCACAACCTCTACATAATCTCTTCTTTTTTTGGTTTTGCTCTACAGCCTTTTCTTTTTCTCCCTTAAGCCTTTTTGCACTTCTACCTCTTGTTTCAACATTTGACACATCAATCTCAATCGCTTTCTTTTTTGAAGTCTCTTCATTTGATACATGAACTCCAGTCCCTTTATTCTTTGAAACTTTTGGAGGTTTGACAATTATTTCAATTGGCACACTAGCTCCAATCAATAGCTCAATGTCTTGCTCTTTGTTTTTTGCACTTCCAGCTGTTGTTTCATTATTTCTTTCAATCCTCTTTGCTTCCAAATCCTTTCTTATTCCTTGAAGATTTATCACAAGGTCTTGAATATCTTCATCTTTGCCTTCTGCCAAACTTACACAAGTGTGTATCTCTGACCATAAATCATTTAACAATTTTTTCTTGTCTATTATATTAGCACATTGCTCCAACAGGTTTCCTCCCAAGTCAAAAATTGGTTTCTTTAATGCCATAGTAGTCCACCTGTGTAACATATACTGCTCGGGAATGGTTTCAAACCTTTTTGCTTTCTAAACCCAAATCATATGTCTACATGGAATTCCTTGCCTATAAAATAGCTTGCAAGAACATGTTGTGTCATAGTTAGTTGGATTAAACACAACATCAAATGTTCTAGTCCGATTTCCTTCACTTACTGTTGCAATTTCCAATTCATTTTCTTTCTTCAATTCATCAACACCACAAGAAAAACAAGCAATTTCAACCTCGTATTGAAAATCATAAAAGACAGAGTTAGTATATAAATGTGAGGCATGCTTTTCTATCCCTAGTGGTGTTTTGCACTCAGGATATTTGTGCTTTGAATCATTATCATTCTGACCTTGAGTGTGTCTCTGGGCATCAATTGCAGCTTCATATCTCAAGTAAAACTCAACAAGGGACACATGAGGATTGATAAAGGAGCAGAAAAAGTTGTTTTCACTTTCCGATCTTGATGTTGTACGCATTATTCCTCCAAGGAACACATCTCTGAAATAGGCCGGAATCCACTTGTCTCTTATCTTGTACATATAACCTAACCATTCATGTTGTTCCAAGTGGTATTCAATCATCACCTTGTTCCACCTTTCTTCAAACTCAACAGGTTCAATTTCAAGGTGTCAAACGCAAGCACATAATTTTTTTAGGAAACCAGTTTCTTCTTGCATGATTGATTTCTCCACCTTATCTGGTAACTTTTTCATTATGTGCCACATACAGAACCGATGTTCAGTCTTCTTAAACACACTTCTAATAGCAATTTTCATTGCTGGATCCTGATCTGTGATCATACAATTAGGTTCATTCCCACCCATTGCCTTGAGGAATGATCTGAACAGCCATTCAAATGACACGATATCTTCCTTTGATATGAAACCAACAGCAAAATTAATGCAATTCTTATGATGGTCAACGCCTGTAAATGGAGTAAACACCATGTTGTACCTGTTTACACATACAAAATAAAGTTTAAATGAGCAAATAATTTAATACTCATTTGAAAAATTACCAAATAATCGATTGCTCATTTGTCAAATGAGCAAATAACTCAATGCTTATTTGTGAAATAAGCAAACAATTCTTTGCTCTTTTGTCAAATGTGCAAATAATTGAATGCTCATTTCTCATATGAGCAAATAACTCAATGCTCATTTGTGAAATGAGCAAACAATTCAATGCTCATTTGTCAAATGAGCAAATAATTCAATGCTCATTTGTCAAATGAACATGCAATTCAATGCCCATATACATACTCTTATCAAAGAATATTAGACTTATGGGGATATTCAATTTCCACATAGAAGTAATGAGCAATTAAACTAATATTATTTAAAACAAAGTCATTAATTTCAGCCATAGCTAGTAATAACACATAAATGAATTACCTATTGGTTTGGTATGTGGTATCAAAGGATACCATATCACCAAATATAGCATAACTCTTTTTACAAAGGGGGTCTGCCCACAATGCTCTACAAAGGCAATAATCTTCATCCATCTCAAAATCAAAGAAAGAAGCGCTCCACATCAGCTTTTTGTTGGTAAAGTTATCCACGAACATTTGAGCATCGCTTCCTTGAATGTATGCTTTTAAATCTCTATGAAATTTTTTGAAATCTTCCTTAGATGCACCAATGTTATCATATCCTCCAACAATTTCCTTCATCATTCGAAAAGTTGTAACGGGACCAATATTCACCTATTTAAAGAACAAAACAATTTGTCACATGAGCAAATAATTCAATGCTCATTTTTAAAATGAGCAAACAATTCAATGCTCATTTGTCAAATGAGAAAAAAATTATTTGCCCATTTGTCAAATGAGCAAACAACTTTTATTATAACATACAGAGAATTCATGAAACATAAGAGAATTTGAAACATAAGAGAATTCATGAAACAATTCAATGCTCATTTGGCAAATGAGCAAAAAATTATTTGCTCATTTGTCAAATGAGCAAACAACTTTTATTAGAACATACATAGAATTCATGAAACATAAGAGAATTTGAAAGTGTTACCTTAGAATTATTCACAATTATTTTTTTGTGTAAAATGTTCATTTTCCTTCCTTCTTTTTGGAATAGATTGCAGCTAGGTGTATAAAGTGCATGAGTATGTCCCTCATGAAATTTTGTCACTATGAATGTGTTATCATCACAATGCTTTAGGAAAATATGTGCCTTGCACCCAACACGAGTAACGAGTCTCTTCCTTTTGATTGAAGATTTTTCTTCATTGTTTTCCCCTTCCTTGTTATTTAAATCTTTTTCTACAGTAGTCTTTCTTTTTTCTTTGTATCCTTCCTTATTGCACAAGATATACTGATATTTTAATTCTTTGCTTCTTCTTTGTCTTTTAGTTGTAGACTTCCTTGTATTGAAACCAGAAGCAAATGCATAGCCTTTATAAAATTCAAGGCCCTCTTCAAGATTATTAAACTTCATCCCTATAGCTGGTTTCAACTCATTGTGGCATATTGGATGCCATTCTTTTGTTCCTCTAGGAGTGATCAAAGGTGCTACTTTAGGAGAAACTACTATTGTAGGAGTAGTTGGCACATTTGTGATGGTACTTGATTGACTCTCAACTTGTTCGTTGTTGCTCATCATTTGTGAATATGCACCTCCTTAAACACACACATACACTCTTAATAATTAGAACTGAAATCAGATTCTTAAACAAACTTACACACACACAGATATAGATTCACACTTACACACACACACACACACACACATACACACACACACACACTCAATAATTTCATAATCTATAATTATAACTGAAATCAGTTTCTGAAATCAGAATTGCAAGCAGAAAGAGGAGGGGGCAGGGGGGGATAGGTTTGCTCTTTTGTCAAATGAACATGCAATTCAATGCCCACATATATAAACTCTTACACTCAATCACACTTACACTCACACTCACACTCACACTCACACACAGACACACTGTTACACTCACTCACACACACACACACACACACTCTCTCACACACACACACACATACATACACAATTCTGTATACTTAGTGTTTTTACAAGCAATTATTTGCAAAACTTATAGATACTTGAATTACTTATGAATGTCATTAATATTTGCTCATTTTAATTTTAGTTACCTCATTTTAAATGTTCTATTATACATATTTAGGTTTGCTCATTTTAATTTATTTGCTCATTTTGAATTTGATTGAAAATAAGAACATAATAACAGCAAAGTTCAATTTGCTCATTTTTATATGACTTTGCTCATTCCATATCCACTTTGCTCATTTCATATCCCCTTTGTTCTATTATACATATTTAGGTTTGCTCATTTTAATTTATTTGCTCATTTTGAATTTGATTGAAAATAAGAACATAAATAATTGATTCAATCACTATAAAGTTTAATCTGGTATTATTAAAATCTCTATCAAATTAATCAAACCTAAATAATTGATTCAATTCAATCAAATAATTGATGCAATTAAACATTCAATTCGATTAATGTAATTCAAAAATTAACATGTAATTCAATTCGAAAATTAACATGCAATTCCAAATTTTTCAGAGATGTAAAATCAAAATATATTGAATATTCAAATTAACATACAATTCAAAATTAAAATTACGAACAAACCTCAATGGTGGATGAAATTGCGACCGTTGAAATTTTCAAAAAGAAACCGTTGAAAATTGCAGAAAGAAACCGCTGAAATTTGCCGAAAGAAGAGCATACTCAGTGAATCGCCATTGATAAGTAAATTGCCATTGATGAGCTTTGAATTGCAGACAGAATAGAGGGGAGAGATAAATTAGATGCTGAAAGTTAGCTTGTAGGCATGCTTATAATCTCAGCAGTTGGATTTCATCTAATCTAGCGGCTGAGATTTGTTCTCACATAAGGTGTGGGTTCTCACATAAAGGGTGGTTCTCACCGGATCCCGACCCTATATATATATATATATATATATCGTACTACGTATTTAAGATAAAGTAATATTAATTACACCGATCTGCGTGTGATTTTGTCACGTAACATTAGAGCATCCCCACTAGTGAGCAAAAAAAAATCTCCTCATTCTCTCTCTACCCACTTTCTCTCTCTCCCCAACTAAATTTGCTCATGAGCATTTTTAGTGAGCAAAATTTATCCCACTAGTGAGCAAAAAAAAAAAATGCTCATCAATCTCTCTCCTACTTTTTCACATACCCCACCAATATCTCTCTCTCTTACACATCACCCTATTAATATTTATTTTGTTTTGGTTAAATGAATATTTATGGGTACTAATTACAATTATACTTTTATTTAATTTAATACAATTATTAAATTTTCATTCATAATATTGAAATTTAATCGCTAATTAATTATAAATTTAATACAACATAAAATTTAATTAGCGTACGAATACATTTAATACTACAAACCAATAACGAACCTAGATTTTAAACGTACGATTAATACTCTATTAAATTGTAATCTTACGACAAATTTATTTTTTTTACTCATTAATAGAACCATATTTTTGCCAAATGTGTTCCACTAAATCCGCTTTTAATTGAACATGAGTGTCTCTATCACGTAGTGACATTCTTCTGTGGACGTACGTGTCGAAATCAACGTTTGGCGGTCGGCCAACATTGAATTCAAAAGGCTCGTTGTTGTTAACTGTAGCACTTGTAGTGGGTCTTGTAATTTGCGGGCGATCTTGTTCATAGTACCTTCTTAAAACTTCGGCCCGAGCATAGTTGTGTCGTTCATCTTCGACAATCATGTTGTGCATAATGATACAAGCTTTCATTATGTCACACAATATGTCTTCGTTAAACGCAAGGGAGGGTTGTCGTAGAACGACAAACCTAGCCTGTAAAACCCCAAAAGCCCGTTCAACGTCCTTCCGAGCTGCAGCTTGTTTATCAGCAAATAATTTATCCTTTTGAATTTGTGGAAGTGTTATACCTTGAATAAAAGTAGCCCACTTTGGGTATATGCCATCTGCTAAGTAAAAGCCCAAGTTGTACTCATGGTCGTTGATAGGCCGTCGTCGAGCCTACCAAAGATAATGATTCCTATCTTGGTCTCACTAACAATAGTAAGGGTAAGAAAGGGTCGAACCCAAGAGAGGTGTTGAACCAACCACCGAGTACTACCGTTTAAATAAGCTAAATGAATTCTAAATTGGGTTGGTTTTGAGTAACTTCTTCTAATTCAACTCAACTAAAGCTAAGAGGAGATTAACAATATTAAGAGGAATATAGGGCTTGGGTTATACCACTCAACTTCATCACAAATCACAATTAGCATGCCACAATCAAGGTAAATTAATGGGACAAATTAGGGGAAGTCATCTAAAGCACCCAACTACTCTCTCAAGCTAGAGGGATTACTTGAATCGTGAATACAACCTACTCTCGTGGTTACATAGCATAAAACAAGTGTTAAAGCATAATCACGATGAAATAAACATTCCCTTGACCGGTAATCCTTATTCTCATGGCATTTCGAGTCAATTAAGCATAAGGGAGCTAAATCAAGTTCATCTCTCGATCCTTCATTGAGAAAGCTTGGATAAATAGTTCTAGCAATGGCCATATACAAGAACTAAGAAATTAAACCACTTAAGCTCAACTAATCATCATCCCACAACAACCAAATTAGCACATGCAACAAGTAAATAGTGACTACATTGAGGGTTTTACCCAAACCCTAGAATTTAGACTACTCACAATCCATGGAGGTTAAAGCAATTAGAGGTTTCAAGCAATTCATGAACAAGTTCAAACTAAGGATTAAGCTAATTAACAATCTAAGCATGCAAGAATTA